TTCTGACATCCATATTTAAGCACGTGAACCTGAGTTTTATCATACCGTAAAAGCTATTCATCATAATTTACTACCAATATTAAATTACAGCTACTTTGGATCATAAATCAAATGGTTTCAGGTATGCCTATAACATACCTAAGGAACACTTTTTTGTTTGGTACCGGGGATTAAACTCAGATCCCTGCGCTTGCGCAGCAGGCGGCGAAACCACTGAGCTAAATCCCCGGCCCTCTAAGGAACACTTTCTATAATATACCAGTGAATTCTCTTTCTTTCTTTCTTCCTTTTTTTTTGGTACCGGGGATTGAACTTGGGTCCTTGCGCTTGCGGGGCAGGCATAGGGGTCATTCTTGATGCTTCTCTTACCCTTTTCCTCTCCTCTACCCACATCCATGGTCCATACATGCTGCTAAATAACTCTTAAATAACCCATCCATCATCACCCAGGGCAGCCACCCTGGCCTTTGCTGGTCTATAAAGTGGGCCATTATGATTGTAGTTTCCAAGGATCACTCAACACCATCTCCTATCCCACATGTTTTTCTTTGGTACTGGGGACTAAACCCAGGGTGTGCTGAACCACACCACTCCCCATTGCATTTTTAATTTTATTTTTTTTAGTACTGGGGTTCGATCATTTTTAATTTTAAAACAGGGAGATCTCACTAAATTCTCCAAGCTAGCCTTGACATTGAAACCCTTCTGCCTCAGCCTCCCAGTAGATGAGATTTCAGATGTGTGCTATTATGCCTGGCCTTTTTTTTTTGAGACAAAGTCTCATTTTATGTTGCCTAGGCTGGCCTCAAATTCCTGGGTTTACTGGGCATGGCGGCACATTCCTGTAATCACAGGAGGATCCCCACAAGTTCAAGGCCAGTGTGGGTTACATAGTGAGTTCAAGGCCAGACTGAACTACATAGTAAGACCCGTCTCAAAACACAAAAACAAAACAAAACAAATTCTGGAGTCAAGTAATCCTCCTGCCTTAGCCACCCAAGTATGTAGCTGGGAAGACAAGCATATGCCACTATGCCTGGCTCATAGGCTATTTTTTTTTTTTTTTTTTTTTTTTTGGTACCGGGGATTGAACTCGGGTCCTTGCACTTGCGCAGCAGGCAGCAAAACCACTGAGCTAAATCCCCGGCCCTTATAGGGTATTCTTGATATTTGCCACTCCCCTGTCAGGAGACAGAGCTAATACCTCTCTCTACCTTTGGACCTAGATGTGTCTCATGTGCAGCCAGTAAAGTATAGTGGATGTGGCTTTTTGTGATTACTATAAGGAAACTCAGCCCCAGAGCACCAAGGAGGTGAGCATCTTGGGTGCCAGCACACTCCCCGCCCCAGCCATGCAGAGCCATTACCTGGATCCACACTGCAGAGTTGCAGGGGTCATAAAGAACATTGTTCTGAACTTGAGAAGATAGAGTAGAAGTGAACAACAGAAAGAGGGCCTCTTTGAGGCCCATTGATGAAAATTAAAGCCCACCAGAAAAGTGAAGAAAATCTCTGCAATAGAGGCACACCAGACCACCTTAGTTGAGGGAGCAGCGGTGTAGACCAGAGCAGTGAGGCTGCAAGCAGATCCCAGCCAGGGCTCCACCCTGACCCCAGAGTCTGGGGCACAATGGCCCAAGCCAAGGTCCTGCCTAGAAAAGAGCTGCACAGGCACACAAGCAATAGCCAGAGGTTCGCCCCAATACCATCAGTAAGTGCACGAGACCCTAGCCAGAAGCTTGCTCACACAACAGGACCTGGGATGCACAGCCCCCAGCCAGAGGCCCTCTCAGACAACAGCCACATAGGGGCCCTAGCCAGTGGCACACCTAGATACCATCCCAAGTGTGCACAGGCCCCAGCCAGAAGCCCACCCAGACAACGGGTCAGCTCAGGGATCCAGAAGGTCACCTTTCTGAACCCAGGAATTAGTGTACTGGTGAGCAGCAGAGAAAAGGCAGCTCTGCGGCTTGCTCAGAATTGAAGACCACTGGGTGAGCAAAAAGTTGCCTCAACAAAGGCACAGCAGGTTGCATCTGTTGAAATGAGAAGACAAGTAAACAAGTCTGGAAACCAGACTTCCAGATCACCTAAAGCAACCCCAAAGGGAAACGAGATGGGACAATCTGATACTCAACCACCTGGACTCCCTGAACTGGCAACAAAAGAGGATCTGGAAAAAATGAAATGAGAAATAATTTCTCAGATAACAGCAGAGATTGTGCCCATAGTACAAGATATGATTAATAAATCCAGAGCGGACACAGATAAAAAAAAATAGAGGATCTGAGGAATATGATGGAATCCCAACATAGGAAATAAATGGAATCCATAAATGATGCAAACAGATTTCCAGGAGATTAAAAACTCCATTGAAAGTTTATGCAGCAGAATGAGCCAATGTGAGGACAAAATTTCAGATACAGAAGATAAGATTGCAATTAGTGACCAGGACAAGAAAAATTTCTTTGAAATAGTAAGGGACCACGAGAAATCAATCCAGCAGCTGCTAGACGATGCAAAGAAGAATAACATAAGACTGATCAGAGTCCATGAAGAAACAGGA